AAACTCCGAAAGCCTGTCTACTTAGCAACCTTCAATGTTCGCACACTGAAGCAAACAGGTCAACAGGTGGCTCTTGCACGTACGCTGGATTCCCTCTGTATTGATGTATGTTGTCTGTCAGAAACAAGGACGCAGGACGCAAGTACTGGGATCGAACCGACTCCCCGCTCTCTTCCAGGTTCCGGCTGCGCACCTCTGCTGATGCAGAGGCCACTGCAGCTGGATACCTGGGGTGAGTGTTAGGAGGACTACCTCCAAACGAACAAATCCATTTAACTAACGATTTGTCTTGTATACTGAAACCGTGTCTCTGTATTTCAGACTCTCACTGACATCTTATTGGACTGTTAGCTCTTTTTATATTCTGGTTCAGTTGAATTCCATAACACGGAACGATCCACTTGTTTGCAGTATAAATTTCTCAAAGTCGTTTGTCTTCTTTATTCCGGTGATCTAACGTGTCTGACTGATACATTATCAAAGAGGACACAACAGTGGGTATTGTATTGAGTGAAGCGTCTCTGCTTGATTGGATACCCGTTGATAGTCGTCTGTGCGGTTCGTTTGTCAACATCCCTGAGAAAATCTAGAGGAAGTGGTTCATCGCACCTTGTTTATTGTGTCTGCCTAAGCCCCAACTGACTATAGCTCCGAATCTGCCACGGACAGTTTCTATGACGCTCTAGGTGCCCTTCTACAGCAGGCTGAAAGCTCAGATATCGTTGTGGTTGTTGGTAATATGAACGCCCAGGTAGGTAGACTAAGTGGTGCTGAGGCCCAATTGGGTGGTCGTCTTGGCTAGGACACGAGGTGCTCTTTTCAAGGATGGCAGTGGTTTCCCCAGCCAGTGCCTGTCTAGGCTATTTGGATCTATCTGGAAGAAGACCGTCCCAGACAACTGAGGGGAATCGATGGTGGTGGCCATTATCAAAAAAGGTACCCGAAGTGAATGCAGCAACCACAGAGGCGCTACTTAGACGCCTGTTGTGACCAGGCTTTTTCGTCATCTTACAGTGGAACACGAAGTCTTGATTCATGAGAATCAAGTGGGATTTCGACCGGGTAAAGGCTGCGTTGACCACATCTTCACACTCCGTCAGGTGATAGAGCAACGCCACATGTACTGACGACCCACAATCCTGGTATTCCTTGAATTCAAGGGTGCGTTTGATTCTGTTGATCGATCAGTACTGTTAACTACGCTTCTTCAGCAGGGATTACCCCCAGAATTTTGTAATAATCTGAACCCTATATTCACATATTTCCGAGCGGGTGAGAGTGTATAGTGAACTCTCCAAAAGCTTCCCTACAAAAGGTGGTGTCAGACAAGGATGTCCACTTTCTCCGTTCTTGTTCAACTTCGTCATATAAGAAAAAGTGAGGCGAACACTGGGAGGTCTCCAAAACCCAGGTATTCAAAATGTTGTTAGTGGGAGTCCTGTCGATTTGGAATACACAGATGACATCGCCCCGGTCTTTGAAGACCAAAGTGAAGCACAAAGCTTGTTGGACAAAATGACCACCATCAAACCGTCTTTTGGCATGCGCGTTGCACCTTCAAAGTGCAAAGTCCTGCTTCAGAATATGCCATCTGCCAACTTATTCCCTACAACTCAAGGAAAATCACTGGAAATTGTGGAAGACTTTACATAACTCGGTAGTTGTACTAGCTCTGACGGAAGTGTGTCTGACGAAGTCAGTGGAATAATCTCAAAGGCTCGAATCGAGTTTGCTAATTTGCGTCACTTGTGGCGTCAAAAAGGCATCCCACTGGATCTTACGAGTCGTGTGTACCAGGCTACAGTGAACGCTGTGTTGCTGTATGGGTGCGACACATGGCATCTACGAACAGGTTATGTGAGGCGCCTTCAGATCTTCGACCACCGATGCCTCAGAATCGTGGCTGTTTATGGATGGCGTCAGCGTGCTAGTAATGAGGTGATTAGAAAATGGGTATTCGGTTGGGCTGCAGACACCTCAATCCGAGAAAACATCCTGCAACATCGACACCCGGGTGCGGAACCAGTGCGAAAATGAAACAAGTTTCCGCACAATGTCCGCACACTTCTGCACCCGGATGCGGAAAATCCGTACCCAGTACCGGGATTTCCGCACCCAGTCCGCACTTAGCTAAAGTCGTTCGACGCGCAAATATAGCCCATTATACGGATTTATCCCTTTCCCTAGTACGATTCAGTAACATCCTAAACACTAAGTGATAACCCATCTGCCCCCACACAATTGCTCAGCGTATTACCTTTCCGGATATCAATAAGCGCCTTCAAGTACGAATGTTTTAATGAGTGAATTATAAAAAATACAGGGGGAAGATCATTTGTCACTCTTTATGGCTCTCTGCAGGCGTTTTCGAACTTTCTGCGGTTCGTTCTCCAGCCAGTGATGAACGATTTCCTTTATTTGTCGCGGATTTGTGTTCGGAGTCGACTACGATGAACCGGTCAGGTGCTACGCGTGATGAAACAGACTACCGAAATTAGTGTTGCTCATCTGGCCTCCTTCAGGATGGTTCAAACCGCGAGGTGGACAGCACATGACTTGACAGAAACGCGTCAAAGAGTTTGGGTGAGGGTTTGAGTGTTGTTGGTGTTGTACACCTTCCAGGATGGAGCCCCCGTGACCCCATTTGTGCTTGACTGAAGACGTTGCAAGAAATTGCGGCTAATCGACGTCAGTGGTGTTCATGCTATCAGTTTCCTCCCAGAATGTCCGGAGGCCAGCCGATCCTAACAACCGAACATCACATTTGGACGGATATGTAACGTGCATGACACGGACCAAACGAAGGCATACCCTGATTGGTCAGAATGCCAACCAATCTGAGTCGCGCACCTTTGATTCGACGCTTCTCGCCCCCGCACGGAGATTCTGGAAAGACCTTGTGGGAAACTCTGAGGTTACCCTATAAATGCAATTTTAATAATTTTCCTTTGTCTCTTTAAACGGCTTCGTACAGCTACCGCACCGATACCGAGTTGCACGACCGTCCACCAAGACACAACACTGATTGGGCATTTGGAGGTTCACGGATTCACGGATTGATACACAGGATCGAGGCTTTTGCCCAAGTTTCCCGGGTCGGTTTTGTTCTTGTTAGTCAGTGGCTGTCGTTCACCTGAAAGGCACAAGTGAAAAAAGGGTGTAGCACTGCTCTTTATGTTCTCAGCGCGGGGCAGTATGCTTGCCAGCGCGAGGTATGGGCACCTCAGAATGACTGACGTAGGCCAGCACTAGTTCCCCTCCTTCATCCACTCTTTTTCTCCTTTTTTTCACTCTAGGGCTTTTAATATATATATACTGCAAACCGGCATCTAAATGCCCAGCAGAAGCGCGAGGTGTTCGGCTTGTCGAGATGTTTCAAGTCCTCCATGGAAATCCGCGACTATGTCCGGGAAAACTATGGAATAGACCTAACCTTAGTTTTGCTCGAACTATGTCATCGGATATTTTAGAGGCAATTGTTCGCTTGGGCTCGTCTTATTTCTCTACTTGCGAGCATTTTGCGCCCTTGCGCAAGCTGCTCTGCTTGCTTGGTGGGGTGAAGGTATTCAGGCAAAACATTCATCATGGATTGGATGACTTCGCAGATGCGAGCTGCAATAGCTGTGTTCGGCTGCGACATAATGCTGTGCTATTTTCACGTACGGTAAGCCATCCGGAAGCATGTAAGTTGCTACAACTTTTGCAGACGATTTCTAACCGCAGCCGGCACATAGTCCACCGCATTGATCGCTCTGATAACGCAAATGAGTGGCTGTGTACCGAACGTTAGTCACGTAGGTTTTGCCGCGAATTACAGATCCTGCATAGGACCGACCCTTGGTGCATCCCCTATTTGACTGCTCACTGGCTGTACATCACTCGAAAATGGGCCATTCATGCACAGCGTAGATATGTACATGTTGGGAATGTGACCAGTGACCGATTCGGGAACGCCAACGGGGTCGCACACAACGCCGATAGCCTGGAGCATGCCATCTAGGTCTCTCAGCACAGTGGATGGCTCATGTGCGAGTATGAGATGCACACCAGTTGCTACTGTGACCGCCGAGAAATTCGCGAGGGAGAAAGCTACGTTGACCCCGGAAGATCGGCATCGACGTCTATTTCTATTACACTCTTCAGAAATAACAAATGAGATTATTTTGTTAGGCAATCCTGGTCGCAATAAACTTTCCCATGGATCTCAACTTCTAT